TTTTTTTTTTTCGAAGATGATTTAAGAAAAATTGTAGATTGTTGTTAAACTAACTATTAAAAAAAATTCTTTTTCGATAATCTCGGAGATCAAAGTCTCCCTTTTGCAACGACCTCTTGTCGAAGTTTCATTGAATTTTATCGAACTGCGTACTTAGGTTTCAACAAGGAAAGATTTCTTGAATTCTTTTAAAACTCAATCAAACAGCCAGGGCAAAGTTTTAAGGAATCCATCTTCAAGACCTAATTACGAAAAATTAAATAATATTGTTTCTAGAACGAGTGTCTCGTCCCTTACAATATAATATCTCGAAATATAATTCCTCTCTTTTATCACGATATCAGAACAAATGGAAATACTTCGCCGCAACGTGCAACGATTTAAACGATTCATTCGTCTTGATGTTCCCGTTATCCAGGACAATTGGAATACTTCGAGCCTCCCTCCCCCCCTTCGATATTGCACAATGACCCCCGCGGGTTAACCTAAAAAAAAATCCATCGTTCCTTTTATTGTCATCGCTCGGCGACTGCCAGCTGTTCCACCGGAGGAGAAGATTTCCACATCGAAGCGGTCCGTAAATAATAACGTTTCACCGACGAGCACGATACCGTGCCACGGTGTTAAAACGGTACCCGGGCGTAACGAAATCCACGAGAGCCAGTTTCCACGAGATTGCCGAGCCTCGGTACCGCTTCGCTTCGGTTTTCATTGATTGAAAAAAATCACCGCGAGATGCATTGTTAATCCCCCCCCGGTGACAAGATTGAAATCGATCCGAAGTAGAGTAAACATTCGCGGCAACTCCGTACCGTCCGATCGGAAAGAAATAAAAATACGGATATTTGTTGGCGGACGTAAATTCATTTGTTAACTCGTTCCACGAATTCATCACGCATTTGTGTCTAAAAAGCAGAAATTTATCATTGTGGGTGATTTATCGTCTGATTTTCGAAATTTTAGAATCCCTCTTTACTGAAAAATTCTTTTCGTTGTTTGAATAAAAATTTGCCCGCGTTCAATCTAGAAAGTAGACCGATGAAGTGCAACATAAATTTCATTTATTAACTCGTTCCATGAATTAATTTCGCGTTTGTGTATTTACTTGTCTAAGAAGCAAGAATTCATCATTAAATGATTTATCGTCTGATTTTCGAAATTTTAGGATTCCCCTCTGCTGAAAAATTCTTTTCGAGAGACGTTTCGTTGCTGTTTGAGTAAAAATTTGCCCGCGTTCAATCTAGAAAGTAGACCGACGAAGTGCAACATAAACTTCATTTATTAACTCGTTCCATGAATTAATCTCGCGTTTGCGTATTTACTTGTCTAAAAAGCAGAAATTCATCATTAAATGATTTATCGTCTGATTTTCGAAATTTTAGGATTCCCCTCTGCTGAAAAATTATTTTCGAGAGACGTTTCGTTGCTGTTTGAGTAAAAATTTGCCCGCGTTCAATCTAGAAAGTAGACCGATGAAACGCAACATAAATTCATTTATTAACTCGTTCCATGAATTAATCTTGAACTTGTGTATTTACTTGTCTAAAAAGCAGGAATTCTCATTCTGAAGTTGGAAATTTTTCTTGTTGGGATTCCTCTCTCCTGAAAAATTTTTTTTCGCGAGACGTTTCGTTGCTGTTTGAATAAAAATATGCAAGAAAAAAGAGAATTACACCGTAATTTCAACTCGCCGATGAATTTGTGCCTGTTTTCTACTGGAATTTCTCACTGGAAGACTCAAGAGCAAACAGAATATTGTCTTGCAATATCAAGCGATATCGATCGAGAAATTGCGAGGGCTCGTTTCAACGATACGAATGCGAGACACGGGACAAAAATTGCACGCTGTCTTCTCTTAAAACGTGTCCAACTTCCAAACAAATCCGGCCGTGTTTGTCTCAACGCACGCGACTGCAAACAAACTCTCGCATTCGACTAATATTTGCCCGGGGCAAATAAAAAAACTGAGCATTTCCTACGAGCCTTCTGTGTAACCGGAATGGATAAGCAAGAATCGTGTGCCTGGCACATCGATTTAATACCGTGTGATAACAAAGCGATCGAGAGAAATTGATTTTATCGGTGCAAACTGAAAGTTAGAAAGCTCTCGGCCAATAGCCTCGGGAGCCTCGATTCAATCGTGAAGAATTCAACAATGCAAAAACGAGAATTAAACTTGCATCAGAAATTGTAGAATTTAAATTGTAGAATCTAAATTTAAATTTAATCTCAAGTGAAAAATTTTCTCAAGTCGAACGCCGTGTGCGTGAATTTTCGACTTTGCATGATCCGTGAAAGTGTACACTGTATTTGTCATCAGACGTTTCAAAATATTTACTGACGTCGGTCTCGTTTAACAACACAGAGTGTACAAATAACTTACGTTCAATCCTAAAGATACAAATATTTTTCTTTTTTTTTTTTTTTTTTTTTTTTTGTACCGTCAGTCTCAGTTTCTTTCTGGCCTCGATAAATTTCGTCACTTTCTTCGCTGAACGTTTACGAATCAAAAGTTGTTTACACTTCAAGCATGCTTCGCTCGCGAGAAATGATGACAAACAAAAAGTATCCTGTACTGTACGAAGCGAGCACGAAACGATTGCATGTCATTATCTTCAAAGGCTTTAAACATCGTCGTTCCCGATATATATATATATATATATATATATATATATATATATATATATATATATACCCACGTTTCGAAACGAGTCTAAGACACACGAGTGGGCCGCACTACACGGTGAAACTCAACGAAAATAACTTATTCACGAAAAATTTTCATCTTCCCGAAACATCGTATTGCACACTGTGGAGACAAAGATACGTGGGAAATTTTCTACGTCGGAATACTCCGCATCGTACTTTTCATAGTGGAATTTCAAAGGAAAGGAATTTCTCTAATTTCCAACAACACGAAGAGCAAAGCCAGCCAAGTTGTCTAAAACGAGACAGCCTTGCGCAAATCTAACTCACAGTGTCACGATCTACTTCCATCCGTGGGCGGATTGAACGAGGGGAGAGAAAAAAATTTTCTCGTGTCCCAGTCAGGACAAATTTTACGTGCGTGTAACCAAACCGAGTCGAAGATCAAAAAAAAAAAAAAAAAAGAAAGGGAATAAAATCAAATCGATGAACTCTGCAGGTAGACTCTGTCGAAGGTGATATCGCAGTCACACTCGCGATATTTTATTAACCATCGACACACGCGGCGTAGGACGGCGAATTTCAGGCGAAGAATTCGAGGAAACGAACCGTGGAAAATATCCTGCGCGGGCAAGCGACACGCAGCGCCGAGCCAAATTCCGTTAGGAAGATTAATTAAAATCCCCTCTCTTTCTCATTGCTAGAACACACGCTTTGTGCATCGCGCCACGGAGATCCTTGTTCCAAAGCTCTCGAACCTCCATCGCGTTTCATTTCTGTTTCCCCGCGTACGGTACGTACCTTTTTCCATGCGGAGGAACGATCGAGCGAATCGATCCCGCTGGTAAAATCGTTCGACTCACTGATCCAAAAAAAA